GGTGATTTTTTTTTTTTTTTTTTTCGGTTAACTGGTCTAGCAGTCTGTCTATCTTGTTTATCTTTTCAAAGAACCAGCCCTTGGATTTGTTGATTCTTTGTATTGTCTTATTTGTTTCAATTTCATTAATTTCTGCCCTCATTTTTGTTATTTCTTCTTGTCTGCTGGGTTTGTGTTTCCTTTGCTGCTGCTTTTCAAGTGTCTTGAGTTGCAAAGTTAAGGCATTTATTTGTGTTCTTTCTGATTTTTTGCTGTAGGCACTTAGAGCTATAAACTTCCCTCTAAGGACAGCTTTCATCGTGTTCCTGAGGTTTAGTTTTGTTGCATTGTCTTTTTCGTTTGGTTCCAGGAATACTTTTATTTCTTTCTTAATTTTCTCTTTTGACCCATTCATCATTTAGGAGTGTGTTATTTAATCTCCATGTGTTGATGTGGTGATTAGTGCTTCTTCTGGTGTTGATTGTAAGCTTTATTTCATTGTGTTCTGATAGAATGCATGGAATTATTTCAATCTTTTTGTATTTGTTGAGGTTTGTTTTGTGCCCCAGTATATGGTCGATTTTGGATAAGGTTCCATGGGGCACTGAATAGAAATATGTCCTTTGGTGCTTGCATTGAATACTCAGTAAATGTCTGTTAGGTCCATTTCATATATGGTATTGTTTAATTCAGATGTCTCTCTGTTAACTCTCTGCCCTGTTGACCTGATGCAGACAGTGGGGTATTGAAGTCGCCTATTATTAATGAGTTGGGGTTAATCTGGGTCTTAAAGTCCTGTATTGTTTTTATGTAGTATTGTTCTTATGAAGTTGGGTACACCAGAGTTTGGTGAATGTATGTTCATGATTGTGACATCTTCTTGATTTATTGTTCCTTTGATCAGAATGAAGTGTCCCTCTTTATCTTTTCTGATTAGTTTTAGTTTAAAGTCAATTTTGTCAGATATTAGAATTGCTACGCCTGGTTTGTTCTTAGTGCCATTTGCTTGGTATATTTTTTCCCATCCTTTCACTAAGATAGTGTCTGTCCTTGAAAGTGAGATGAGGTCTTGCAGACAACAAAAAGATGGTTTTGTTTCTTAATCCATTCACCTAGTCTGTGTCTTGACTTGGGACTTCAGTCCATTAATATTTAAAGTTATTAAGGAAAGATGAGTACTGAATCCTGTAATTTTTATTTCTATTTACATTCATGATATAGCTGTATTTTCCACAGTTATACCTTCATTGAATTTCTTTCCGCAACCCCTTTTGTAAAGTCATTCCTTTATTCAGCTCTTTGTATTGATTCCAGAAGTCTCTGAAGGGCTGGTTTTGTGGACATGAATTCCTTCAGCCTATTTATATCATGGAAGATTTTTCTTTCCCCTTCGACTATAATAGACATTTTGGCTGGGTATAGTAATCTGGGTTGG